CTTCTTCCCCATCCCCTCTGTTTACCACCCTTGCATGTTTCAATAAAAGAGACTCATAACTGCTTGTCCCCACGTCTGTCCTTGTTCTAACCACTTTCATCCCCCACCTTCCTGCCAGACTGGTTGTCAGACAGTCTTTCCCATTTGCCCAGACACTTCTGTGGTTTCCCAGTGCCTGCTCACACGAAGTCCAAACCCTATCCGTGTTGTAGATAAGAGTAACTATTTCTGTATCGATCATTTTTCTTTTAGAACTTAGGGTTTTTTTTCCCTCAAAGTTTCTCGTTCCGTTCCCATTTATCATGGATGTAGTTTGTCTGCTTCTCAGAGTCACGCAACAGGTTTTATGATAGCTCTGTAGGAGCCTGAAACCAAAAATGATCTGAAGTCTGCTCGAGGTCACGAAGCAGTGACGGTCTATTTGTGAATGAATCCTATTACTGAGCCCTTAAAATTAATACTAGCCCTGCCATCAAACCATCACAGTCAAGTGAGGCATTAGGCCTTGTGCGTGGGTACACGTATGCATGTACAGGTGGACACGTATGTACATACGCATGTGCGCATGGCCTGTGTGTGCCCGGTGTGTGTAAGGAAAGAATCCTGTAGAAGAGCCATCCTAATCCAAGGGAACAAAGGACATTTTTTTCCTTTTAAATATAGTTTTTCTTTTTAATGCCGCCATGCCTTCCATCTTTTCTTGTTTATCTTTATGCATTATTTGGTAAATTAGGAAACTTCTGTTGTTTAATAGGAAGGAACTTCAGATGGGCAAGCCTAAAAGAGTAGCAAGTAGCAAGGGCTTTGAAGCTAAACAGACCTTGGTTTGAACCTCAGATCTTCACTTACAAGCTCAGGCTCTCAGCCTAGTTTTCTTGTCTGTAAAATGGAGACATTCATGGTTACCTTAGAAGCTTGCTGGGAGCATAAAATGAAATAAAGTGTGTTTTCCCTTTTAACCTGTTTGTTCTTATGTTAAGTGTTTCCTCTGTATGAATGGTATTTAGATATTCATTTAATGAAAAAGATATTTAAAGTGGCTTCATTTGTCTCTTGTTGTGTTCCGGTCCAGCCCATGCTAGAAGTCAGCCCCGTACCTGAGATTATATCTAGACACCTGCACTGTTGTGAACACTCTTCCTAGATGTTCCACTATGAGTATTTGATACAAGGAAACAAACAAAAGTAGTGAAGGGAAAAATTTCTTAAATGAACTGTGTGGAAAATCATACTTACAGTGTAGGTCTACCTTGAGGTGGAGGATTTGTTTGGCTTAGAAGCAATCTTCCAGAAGCTTCCTTGACCCCTTGAGATCAGGTTAGGGTCCCTTCCGCCTATTTTCCTGCAGTCTGTACAGCAAGACAGTAAGATTCCCAAGGGCAAAGAATGTGTCTTATTCATTATTATAGTTTCAGGGCCTGGTGCATTATAGGCCCTCAGGAATTGTGTCTTAATGTTTTGGACTATATAAAATAACACTGTTCTCAGTGACTTGGATGGAGATTGAAATATCCATTCACAAAAAACAACATATATGGGTGATATAAAGCAGGTATGACCTTGGAAATCAAAGGTACATCCTAAGTGACACAAGAGGAATTGGGAAATGGTCTGAATTTCATAGTGAAAATTAATAACTGGTGTGAAGTCTTTCCATAAGACAAGTAACTCTACAGAGACAAACTAGGGCCATTGTAGCATGCTAAATCCACCATCTTGTGTTTACGTGGTGATTTACACTTTTACACATTCTTCTTTGGTCCTCAAAACAGTCTGGTAGGATGGGAAGAGAGGAGCATTGCCATTTTGCAGACCAGAAGACTGCGGTTTGGTGCAGTTAGTCACTTAGTCCAGGGGTCACGGCTGGGGCGGGTGTCAGCATCACACTTGATACGGCACTATTTTAACTGTACACATAACTTTCCAAGTTGTTAAATCTAATGTTCTAAAAACTTACATTTATGTCGGATTTCGCTGTTTGTCTTTACAGCAACGCTTTGAGTTGGTGGGTGGGTAATCAAATTAAATACTGTTGATTTGGAATGCTGGTATCTCAGGATCAGAAAGAAGCTTTAAAAGGGACAGCTTTTTTTTTTTTT